ACAAACTAAGTAATTTGCCTCTGCTCTGCCAAGTTGTACTACAGAGTACAAAGAAACTATGTTTTAATCATAGGTTTGGTCTGATACCCAGCAGCTACTGGGTCTATGACTCTTTTAAGTTGAACCTGAGATAAATGCAGAGTAAACCATGACCAGCTCTGGACCTGGATGATGTAGGATCCACTAAGTTTCTTCCTCCAGGGCCACCACTTTCAGCTGGACACACTGGGCAGGGCCACCTTTTCTAGGGGAGAGAACCCCACTGACTGTTACTAAGAATCAGTCACAGATTTGGATGCCTCCTTGTTCAGTCTGACTGACTGACTGTATACTTGCACTCTGTCAGAAAAGACAGTATCTACTAAGCTACTGTCTTTAGAGCCATTGGTGTATATTTCAACACCGATCCCAGTCTAGTCCTATCCTATGGGCAGGATGGACTCTTAGTACATCTGAGTCTGACCATGTACATCTGATTACAATGCTTAGCCTCTATACCTTCTACTGTTTTTCTGTAGAAGGCTGTCTCTTGTCTGACTACCAGAGATAACACATTCTATGCTCATCTTATAGATGGCTTGAATCACTTCTCAGCTAAGATCATAGTCTTGCCTAGCTAGTCTCAATAGTGCCACTATTGTGAGGTTTGTCCTTTCTCGAACACTCCTCAGATGGGTGTCCAGCATAGCGTCTGGTCGATGATAACATCGTGGTACTTTAACTTGTTCATTCTTCATATGGGGTTGCCCCAGATTTGGTATATCAGTCAGTGTGCCAATACTCCTGTCCAGGCCATTGTCAGGGCTAAAGGACAGCTTATGCAACTCTCCCCAGCAAACGAGCCGTTCTATTGCTTTGTTGCTGCGAATCTCCGTATCGTGTCTACTATTGCAACAGATCATCTATGTAGGCCTGCAGCAGGACATCATCTGGAAGGATGAGCCTTAGGGCTGTGTCTGCAAGAACGTTCCAAAGGAGAGGCTCTATGCATGATCCCTGAGGACAACTCCTCTCCAGTCTCCTTATGAACCTGTCACTAGGTGTATGGTGCTCAACAATACAGTCACTCAGGAAACTCTTGGTAAATGATACAAATGCGGTTGGCAGGTTTGCCTTCCGCAATTCACCCACTATGGATGGCTACCAGACATTGTCGAATGCCCCCGCAACATCCATCGAAACGAGCAATATGTGGAGGCCCTGTGGCAGTTCTGGTAAACTAGGTTGACCTCCCAATGTAGTGAATGGCAGGTCAACAAATCTGGCTGGAATGCATATTGGTGTGGGTTTTTGAAAAAGCCTTCTCTGCTTTAAGTGATAAAACACTCTGTCTGACAGGATTCTGTCTAAAGCCTTTTTCAGGACTGGCAATAGACTGATTGGTCTGTAGGACTTTGGTTCATTCTTTCGGCACCTACTCTTACGTATTAACACGCCTGCTTCCACTGCACTGGGAAGTGACCCAGGAGCAGACACTTCTGATACAAGACACAGAGCAGGTCTGGCTGTACCTGCTGAACTTGTACCATTTTGGCCGTAATCCCATCAATCCCAGGTGCCTTCCCTTTTGTTAGGTTGCTGATGGTGTGGGCTACCTCAGAATCAGTCACAAGTACAGGCATCTCAGCCTCAAGAACGGACAGCTCTGTGTCTGTTCAAAGCCGCCAAAGAGGCTGTTCTTCAGTGTCATCAGACCACTCATCACACAGAAAGTGCGATTGAAACAGTATCTGTATTGACTCCTCCTGTATGGAGGTTAGGGTATTGTCAGGTCTTTTGATGGATCCCAAGATTGTGCTGCACTTCAACTTTCCCACCACTAACTTGTAGGGTAGGCAAAAATGGGTTTTCGTCACTTACTTGCTGACAGAATCTGAGCCATGAGGTCTTCTTGGCACTGTTTAACTTGTACTTGTACTCGACATTGGCCCTCTGGAACTCCAGTTTCCTGGTTGCCCTAAGGTCATCGTCCCTGCATCGTTGAAAGTGTCACTGGAATACCCTTGTGTGCTTTCTCAGGACACTCAGTTCCTGGGTCCATCACGGAACTGACTGGTGGTTATTGGGCCACCGTTGCGCGAGTGTGCAGTCTCCTGCTTCTCTGACCGCTTCAGTGAGGTTGGCCACAACATCCTCCAGGTCCCTGACACTCTCAATCTTAGAGACTTCTGTAGGTATGTTGGCTATCTTTTCAGTGAGGTATTTGCTAAATTGATTGCAGTTTCTGGCAGTTGGCTTGTAGCAACTACTCAGCCAGTCAGATGAGCTGCACATTACCTTGAAAACAATGAAATGATAGTCACTACAACTTTCTGCATTGATCGTTTCCCACTGCAAGGTAAGTCTCAGCATAGGCCCACTCATAATCGTGAGGTCAATCCAGCTGTTGCCTGTGGCAGAGGAAAAGGTAGCAATCCCAAACGGATCGTTCAGGACGTGTATCCCCCAACTTTCCACTGCTTCCTTCATCATGTCCCCGACTGGATTGTCTATGGGGCCCAGAATGAGAGTTTGGTGTTGAAATCGCCTGCCAAGACCACCCTGTCACGGGACAAGACAACTCTTTCGAGTTCACTCAGAAGGCTGCCAATATTGAATGATGGTGGACAATAACTGGAGAATGCAACCCATGTGCAAGTGGGTGACCATATTTCTATGGCCACCATAAGTTGCAAGATGTGAATGGCATACGCATCGACGTTCCTCTGTGTTAATACAACTGCAGCATGACAGTCATTACATGGGTGAATATGCTCCATTGAAGTGATAAGCCACTAACCATTCCTTATACTAAGTACGGCTCTTGGAGCAAGATGATGTCAATCTCCTGCTCGGCCACTTCTACCTTGAGTTGGGCAGTTGCAGCACGGCACTTTTCAGCATTAAACGGCAGTATCCTGCAGCCACATCCTTCGTCACTCTGAGTGTGTAAGAAGAATCGAATGCAAGCTAAGTTCCCTTATATCTGACCATAGTCAGTCCAGGCCTTAACTCTTTTGAGCTCCTGTAACATGGGCAGCTGGCACTCACAGAAGAGTGGCTGGTACCCAGTTCAAGGACGAACTTTTTATTTGCCTTAGTGTAATTAATACATTTAGGCATTGTCACCTTACATTCCTTGTATGAGCGATCGTTGGCGCACTTGCTACATACTTGAGTTGCTGCTGCACAACTCTTTGCTATGTGATTAAAGCCGTAATTACAGCTAATTATTCCCTAATCCAACATGTCCATCCAATATTGAGTCTTCCCTTCTGCAGGAGAGCTTGGTAGACCTTTGGGGAGGCCTCCCTTTCCCTTTAGTGGAAAATGAAGTTGCAGTTCCCCAGGCTGCACCTCGATGCTATTTTGCGCTTTTAAGGTCTTCACAAGATATTCATCTTTAATGTCGGGACTGACATCGAATAGTATGACCCTTGGCCAGCTCTTTTGGGGCAGTTGGCAACTGACTGCCTCTCACACATCGGTGGGCCCTCCATCAATTCCTTTACAATCTTGTTGACGTCCTGGTGCTTTGTTACCTCTACCAGGATGCCTCCATTCCTCACTCTCCGAACATTCTTAATCCCGACCCCCAACTTGACTGGGTTGATGTTCATTTTCAGCAGTGACCATGTCTGGTCACTGCTCATCGTATCCTTATTAGGGACACCAGGAGCGTGTGCTCTGTGGTCACTATCCTTTCCGGCTTGGCAGCAGCCTGTGGTTCCTGTTGGAATTGCTTCGAGGCTGGTTGGAGCAACACGCATCGGCTGCCTTGTCTTTTTCTGCTATTGGAAGCATTTTGGGTGGTTGTCGGCTGTCCACGACCTCTCTCAAGGTCTTATTCTCAGCCTGGAGGGAGGTAATCTCGGCCTCCTGGGCCACTCAGAATAGCGGCAACCTTACTATAAAGGTTGTACTGTACATCACTGTGCAGGTGGCTTTCTGACACCAGCTATCAGTCTTTGCTAGGAGCTTTGTCAGCTCATCATGTACACCATCTAATGCGGCCCTCATATTCTCAACCATCTCTAGTTCCTCCTGTGTCACCAGAGGTGCCAATGATGGTGTTTCAGCAGCTGCTGGACTTTTCTTTCCAGCTGCTGCTGCGGTAGGGCCCTTCTTTTGTTTTGACCCACCCTTGTTTTTGGCAGAGGGTTTTCCTTCTGCCATGGTCACCGCAGCTTTGGCTTGTCACCTTTGGGTTTTGCCGCCTTAGCTTTGGCCGCCACTGCACGCTTTTGCCTTCACTTGGTGCAGCTGTTGGCAGGTGCGGCCCTCTACTTGCTCTCCTCGCTAGAGGAGGTGGTATTAAACACTTCCCCAGACACGGAACCAGCATCCAAATCAGAACTACCAGCCTTGATGGGGATTGATACCTTTATTATATCTGTTTGCCCAACACTCGGGCTCTTGATTCTGGTCATTGGTGGGCTTGCATTTCTACAAGACCCACCTCTCCAGCAGTTTGGTACTGACAGTACCTCTCTCTACCTCTCTTTCCAGATTAGTGTCTTTAATGGAACTCTCTGCATAGATACGCACATTGGTTGCACCCGAAGCGCTACTAACGCATTTGCTAGTATCCATAATTGTTGTCATAAAAGAGAAAGAAAAAATGTGGGTTGAGGTGATCCTAACCTTTTGTGGTTGCCCAGAATCATGAAAGGATTCTGGGCAACCACAATCCTGAATCCTGAATCCTGATTGTGGGCAACCACAAAAGGTTTAATTTAGTGGGAACCACAATGTGTTTAATTTAGTGGGAAGTAGATAGGAATTGTTCAGTTTATTTGATTTAAACATTTGTAGTGGATAAATGCTAAAAATTACTTGAGAATAATCAACCAGAGTAATTATACATTTATTCAACATGCTAAAATATTAAGTCCTTTATAAATTGTCTGATTTTCTAATGTTGTGAATAGAATTAAAATGTTTACAAAATTTTCAATTACAAAATTTAAAAATGTATAGTTTTTTATAACTTTCACTGTTTAAAATTTTTGTTTTTTTAGATTTAAACCAACTCAAATGGAACAATTCCAAGTAACAACAACAACAGCTGCTTCTCCACAAGATACTGTTGTTACTGTTCCTGTTTCTGCCACTTCAGGGAATGGTGAACAGGTAACTGTGATGCAAAATCTTCAACCTGTTCAAGTAACTGGAACACCTCAAGCTCAGGTATTATTTTATCTATTAGAATAAGAAGTTTTTAACAGTACTGTATTAATTACTCTAAAAGTTTTTTTTAATTTAACTAGTCAAATTATACGTATATTCAAATCAAAATATAACACTATTTTTTAAAAATTAATTATGATCTCCCTTTAAGTGCCCTATTCAATGTTACAATATTATGTGTAACAGTCAAAACTCAACTAATGTTTTATTTTGACATTTCCAGGAATACCAGAAAGATTTCTGTGGGAAAAAACTTTAGTTCCAAAACTCATCACTTCAGGATTTATGATGCTGCAAGCAGTAAAAATACCTTGGCACAATTTCTTATGGTATCATAACTCTTGAAGCACATTTACAACATTGGCAGGGATCATGTCTGTTGCAAAATTATATTTGTCTGGCAATTGCTTTTATCATCTGGTGATTGCAATTGCAAATAGCCAGAGAGCAGTTCAGGGGGAAATTCATTCGGTGAATATCATAAAACCAGTGGCGTGCCGTGACATTTGATAGTAGGGAATCTGTGTTTCTGTAAGAAGCCGACTTCCAGGGGCAATCAGTTAATTGCACATCAGTGATTGTCAATGGTACATTCGTATCGTTTGTTCGATAAGCCAGTAAAAACCGTAGACTTCTCTAAATGTATTTTTAATATCACAATTACATTCTGAATCACTAGCCACGATATAAGGCTAAAATTATAAATAAAGTAATAAAAACTTGCTTGGTGAAATAAAGTGTGGTGGATTTATAGTACATACCTTGTACAAAATATTCTTCAATTATATTAATATACTTTTAAAGAAGATTATAATTAAATATAGCTTTGTAAAGAAACATACATAAAAATATAAAATAATCTTTACTTTTTAAATCTTAAAACAATGCACTTAGTCAAATAGCTCCCTACAAGTGGCTAATGAATGGAATCGAAGACGGTTGCAGAGCGTGCATACATGCAGACTGCCAAATCCCCAGGGTGCCGATACTGTCAATGTCAAATACCTCTTTTGTCTCATCACTAGTATATCTCAAAGGACACAGGGCTGTTGTAGATTTTAAACGTTTCTCACCATAGCTGTAAAAATCTAAATATGTTAAACTTAATAGTCATTTGTTTTCTAACTAATCGTTTTAGAACCAGGTGTCCAAGGAAATTTCCAAAATTTACAACTTTTTGGTCACTCTCATTGAACTGGAAAAATTTCTGTCTTTATTACATTAATAATATGAAGAAATCAGTCTCCATTGTACTTGGCTAGAGATGGTTCAGTTAAGCTTTTGTTTAAGTAAAATTTTGGCTCTTTCATCAGGGTTTTATTTATGTCCCCAATTCCCTAATCGCTTAATTATTTAACTACTACTTAGGTAGAAATAAGTTGAAATCGGTTACTTTGTACTCGAATATTTGTAGTCGCGGGAAAAAAGTGGAAAGAAATTTTTATGACAAACGGATACATAAATCGTAAATTTAAGGAAAATAAATTCTAGAGCTTTTTCTGTACCTCGTGCATCTCTCTCATTCATTAAATTTAGTTGTAAATGATGCTACCAAAGTAACAGTTAATTTTTTTAACATTATACAAGAATTGTACACGTTTTTTTCTACATCCCCTTAGAGATGGGATATACGAAATCATAATATCACTGGTTTAACATTAAGATCCGTGAGTAATATAAAATCAGAGAGAGGAATAAAAATATCAAATATTTTAAATGGCTTTTTTAAAACTCCTGTCAACTATACAGAACTATCATAAAAACATGCCAGTAAATTCTTATCGGTTGGGTTAAGTTATAAATTTACTCATGATTCACGTAATCGGGCGAGGGTGGCCAACAACCCAGAACTGGTCCTGGATAGAATTGGATGCGGTATACAGGTAGCATCCATCCGAGGTCCTAGGCTTTCACCGGCTAAACCAGGTGAGGTTGGTGCTCTGTAAAGCACATGCGCAAATCTGGCTTTTTGGATGCTGACAATACAGCACTTCCACTCCACCACTAATATTCGAATATACAATAGCAATCTTTTTTTTTTTTCACGTGTAGTATAGAAATTTGTAATAAGATACATAATGCGGTTATAATAAAATGTTGTGCGATTATTTTCATATAATTAAAATTAATGTGTGTTTATTTTTTAGAAAGTACAAGGGAAACGGCGCATCCACCGCTTCCAGTGACGGCACACCACTGCATAAAACATGAATCGATCTTGATCCAATACAATTTTACTGTTAATAAACAAAAATAAAGTTGCTTGAGAAACTCAATCATAAAAATGCTGCATTTTTTTTTATTTTTTATTTTTAGGTTTGTACAAAAAGTCACAGTAAGCAAGAATGTAATCTGGCAAATTACTTTCTATTATGGCAATAAAAAATGTTTCATGAATGGTTTGGCAATTGCTGTAAAAAAAAAGTTAGGGTGACCCCTGATTGGCATTGCTTTCATAAACAACTTTGGGTGCAATTATGACCATTGCTGCTAATCTGCAATAATAGATATTGTATTTCACATGCCGTAGGCAGTTTTATATCCAGAAACTGACCATAGCACATGTACAGTACATCATGATTATGCTACATTCTTTTCCCAGCTATTTATTATATACACAATTCTATTATTAAGATAAGCACACACATTCTATTAGTAAGATTAAGATATAAGATTAAGGAATATTACATTATTATATTTGATAATAAGATTAAATATAATAGTAAGTTTTTATTTGATGAATTAATAAAATCATGAAAGCATAGGATTCCAAATGGATGACTTTTGTCAGTGCAGAGTATTAATAGGAATAGAAACATCAGTCAAAAGTCTATTTGTGATGAGTTATGCTGATTGGTTTTCTCAAGGTACATATTCTATTCTTCAGTAACACAAAAAGATTTTAGAAAGTAGAGAGTTTTGGGAGAAATCGATAAACTCTGTAGGACACTCCAGAGTCCAGAACATTCCTATTATGTTCTATCAACTTGGATTTAAAGTCCAAAGATTTGGCAACCAATTTTTGTTTTCAGTATCCTTATTCTCAAGAAAGTCAAGATCTAGATGAAATACATCTGTAAGAATAAATTGAATGCCAACCGTATCTAGAATGTAGAGGGCTATAGTAATCCTTATGTAGAGTTTACAGAACACATTTCTACAGATTGAACTATTTAGAGTGCTTTTTGTAAATATAGAATTGCATTTTGTTTATCAAATCTTTATATCACTGCCACCAAAGGGATATATTTCCATGTTATATGAAAGAGTTGTTATGGTTTTTATTCTCTTCAGATGAAAATTTGAGAATGACTACAAACTGAATTTTAATTCATTTGTAAAAAAGAAAATGCTGTTTAATTGATCTGGGCTTCAATAGAAATAGATTAATTAAGTAGTGTTGAGTTTTAGATAGGATGGCATTAATTGAAATGAATTTTCATTTTCAGTAACAGAGGTTAGAGGAATGAAAAACATGGGCTTTCTTGCAGTGAAGATTAAATTAAGCCATACATTGAAGACTTAAACCATTGAAAATAACTTCAGAATTTTCTCAATAAGTGATTATCTTGTTATAAATTCTCTGTGGCATTTCATTATAGGAAACAAAGCAATGATTATTGTGAGCTGCTGTCAATTGATGATAATGCTATCTTGACATATCATTAGGATCCTAATATTATCATAACCTTGAAACAGTGGATAAATATTTAAGTTTCTTGACATATGAGCCTGAGATTGACGTATTAATGTGAAAATCCAGCAACAAGTTGTGTAACTTTTCTGTCCAAATATTAAAATTGTATGTAAAATTGTATGTGTAAAACTGTAAGTTGTGTAATTAAAATCTGTTATGAAATTTTATTTTTAAAAATTTTATATTATTAATTATTATAAATTGGCAAAGAGCTTAATTTTGAGAATAGAGATGAGTTTTATTATAAAAAAAAAATTGCAAATGCTAATGAATAATAATGAGTAAAATCTTCATTAAGTCTGACTCCAATTGAGATATGCATGACCTCCACTATCTCCCCACTCCTTGATCTTTTAACCACCAAAATCTAATAGCAGCAATGAACTAAAAACCTCCCTGCAAAATTTCAGAAATTTTTGACAAAGGTGTTATTAAATTTCAAAGTGGATGAAATACAGAAAAACTCCCAAACTTTTTTTCATTTCTTGATGTTTCAAGGCTTGGGTCCAAAAATGTAAACCTTGTGAGGGTCATTTTTTTGACGATTGCCATACTTTCCTTTGTTGTGTATAAAAGCCAAGAAAGTAAAAATTCAAAGTATTAAAAATTTAGTATCAGATTTCTTAATGAATTAGTTATAAGTTAGATTTAGTTTAAAAAAAGCACAATTAAAAAATTGAGTTATGATTTTCTCCAAAATGCAATAAGCTTCAATATGAATCATGATGCTAAAATCTATTCATATATTACATTTATAACTAATTCGTTGAAATTAATAATTTAAAGCGAAAAAACATTACATATTCATGTGAATTTTATTGTGAATCTGTTCCATGCTCTGTATTTTAAAATGCTGCTTTTACTTAGTATACTAATGTAAAGTTGAAGATTTCATCATGTAAACAATTTATTTACTATATTATCTTGATTATCACAAATCTTAGAAATAAAATATTTTGCGAATGAAGGGATGGATATGCAAATTAATATGTATTATTTAATAATTTATGTTAAAAATGTTCAAATTATACCATAATTCAAATTTATAAGCAGTTATTCCTCATCTATAACAATGATTTCTTGAATAAATTAACTATATTAGTATATTGGAAGATTATGATATCAATTAGAAATAAGGTTACTGATCCTTTTTAAGAATAATTTGAAATTGTTAGTTTTTCATTATTGAAAAATTTATTTGTAGGTGTAATGTTTTTTTTTTTTTGTTAAATTACTAATTGAATAAATTAAACATTTTTATGAATTAGGTAATTCAAGTTCCACCAGGTTCTGCACAAGCACAGCTTGTTTCAGGTCAACAAATTATGGTGCAAGCTATTCCCCAAGCTCAAACAATACAGTTACAGGGCCAACCAGATCAACAAATTCAGCAGGTATCAAACGTTTAATTTTTTTTCATGGATGGAAAGTATGCATCATACGATTTTGTGACTACAAGAATTCTCTCTAAACAATGATCATCATCAAAAACTAAAAAATATAAAATCTTTGCCTGAAGTAAGATTTGAAACTTTGGTGTGATGAATGGAGAACTATACAATATATAGTACAGGTAATCCCCATATAACACAGGAGTTATGTTCCAAAAAATTGCCATGTTATGCGAATCCGTGTTATACGAAACAAAGAACTAGTGCAAAAAGGGAGTTAGGTTCCAAAAATTAAAAAACATGCTGTTAAATCCTTATTTAAATAGGATTTATTATTCATTTTTATCATAGGTAAAATACTTATTTATTATTTAAGTCAGAGCTTCTTAAACAATGGGTCACAACCCCATTTGGGGTCGCTTAGCGAAATCTTGGGGTCGCAAGATTTTATTGCAAAATATTGAAAATAATTTGTGAGAGTTTGAAAATGGCATGCTTTGTGTCATAGGATTCATGAGTTGTGCTTTGTATCACTTCTGGTGCAGCAAGACAACGATTCAGCAACACTGATTGTAGTGTGAAATAGTGTAGTGTTGTCGCTTTTCAGTGTATTCAGTTGTCTCTGTTCCATACTAACACAAGAATGAACTGTGGTAGTACACCATTATTGTTTTTGCAAATTTGTATATATCTTTGTGATTTTTTTCGCGACCCAAAAAATATAAAATAATCATAAATACGGTCGTGAATAAAAAAGTTTAAGAAGTCCTGATTTAAGTAAATATTTTACCAGAGGATTATTCATCCTATATGATGATCTCAGCATGAGCATCATCAACTGGTAACAGTTTTTGGGTGTTTTTGTTAATAGCGGTCACTCTGCAACGGGAGTGTGCTGCTGTTTGTAGGCATTTAGGAATGACGGTGAAAGAAAGATGGCGGCACCCGCACTATTGATAGTATCGTGATGGAGGAATCTATAATTCTAAAATGAGCTTTTAGAGGCAAAAGAAGGGTCCCAATTATAATATTTAACCATTAAATGGATTATTTGTTGAAAGAGCATTTAAAGTAGCCATGAAAACAATTAGAATGCTCATGCAGAGTTATGCGGAGGTTTAAAAGAATGCACCCTTTATTACATTTCATGTTGTATGAGGGTTTTACCCAATTCCCAAACCGTGTTAGAGTGAACCCATGCTATAAAAGCATCGTGTTATACAGGGATGTTCCCAATTCTCAAACCTTGTTAGAGTAAATCCATGCTAAAGAAATGCCATGTTATACAGGGGTTACCTGTATTATTAAAATCAGCTATCAGATTCATAGTATGAATTTGTAGAAGTAATTGAAAGTGGTGAATTTTTAATACAGTAAAATATATTACTATTCTACAGTTGTCTTTAACCACATTAGAAGATAGATATTTAGTTCTCTTCTAACTTTACATTAAAAAATTATTTGTTTAAACAGAGGTACTGTACTAACTCTTGCTAGAAATTGTTTATATAATATAGTAAAATAATCTTTACTTTGTAACATCATCTTCATGACAGAATCAGATTGTGTGTTTATGTAAACAAATAGTCTTATATTAAAATCAGGCATCATTCACTTGCATTTCCATTTGAACAGTTTTACTACCAGTCGACCTCCCTATAACACTGTTGATTTTTCCATGTTATATGAATTCCATGTTGTACAAGTCACTTAGATTTTACAAATACGTGAGCCGTTCACAGCCTGGCACATGTATTTGTAAAATCTAAGTGACTCATACAACATGGAATTCATATAAAATGGAATTATCAACAGTGTTGTAGGGGGGTCGACTGTATTTTAATATTATTGATCTCTTATTATAAAGAATAATAATAGCATATTTATCTATAAGTTTTGGAATTGAATTTTTGTATGAATGTACACTAGGCATCGTTTTTGTTCAATATATTTAGTCTAGTGGTAATTTTTTTTATTCATAACAAGGTTTTAAAATTTCTTTTGGCTGGTCATTGGTTCATAATAGAATAAATTTTTAAAAAATTTTATGAAAGCTGACAAGAATATTTAACTTATGAAATATTTCATAATTGTTATATCATATTTTCAGTAATTTCTAAATTTACAAATTTGTCTTTAATATTTGATCTTATTATAACAATGAAGATTATACACAAAAGCCACAAGTAGTGATAATTAAAATTTATTTATTTCATTAAATTTACAGGAAAAGTCTGAATAGACATTTGATTTTCCACTCCCCTACAATATCATGTCATAGAAACAAATAACATCCCTTAAAACAAATAAAACAAAAATAAATAAATAAAATAAAAGCAGGTAACAATATTTGTTAATTTGAACTTTAAGAATGTTGTAATTACTAATTCAAGTATATTGGAATAATTTCTAATAATTTTGATTTGATTCTGTTATTAGATGATTATCTTATTATGTTATTTGAGAATTTTGAGATTTCATTTGTTTATTTAAATTATATATTTTGTAATTTTATTCGAACACTCTTGTTTCTAAACAACATTTAACAAGAAAGAAATTCCTAGGAGTATCAAAATTAAACTTTAATTTAAATTATATATTTTGTTATTTTATTCGAACACTCTTGTTTCTAAACAACATTTAACAAGAAAGAAATTCCTAGGAGTATCAAAATTAAACTTTAATTTATTACAGTCTGTTGTATGCGGTTGTAAAAAAAGAATTATAGATGCACAGCAAAGTAAACAATCTCGAGCAGTAAATGTCTTAGATACTATATATAAAAAGAAAAGTGGATTTTAAAAGAAGAAATGATTGATACGATAAAACACCTGTTAATTTTGTTTCTCAAAAAACAAAAACAAAAAAAAATT